GCAGTCACACATAACCGTTTGTAATCCATAACCCAGGCAAATCACCTCCACCTCCGTGGTAAATTTTTGACGAGTTTCACCCATTTTTCTACAATATAACTGGTGCTTTCAGAATCCCGATGGCCGGCAATCACATCACGCTTGTCGGCTACGCTATCCTGAAACTTCAAAGGAAATTTGGCTGTCCCGAAGATGAAAAATGGTCTGAAAGTGGCAGCTAAAAGGACGGGAGAGGAGGTGAAGTTTGAAAGGAGTGCGGCTCAAATCAAGAGCCTGACAGAGCCTAAAGTTCACCGTCGATTTCCCCATGTAGGTAGCGCATAAATCAGGGCTCATTTTTTGGCCTCATGACTAATTCAGTACCGTTCGAAAAAGCTTACCACACAACAAAGTCTAGAGATCTTATAATTTCACGAGAATCAGGCTTAATTTCTGATCTAAATCCAAAATCCAAAAGGACTTATTTCATGCTCTCATTCATAGATTCCCCTTTATATCCATGACAGAATCGCAAAGGGGCGGGGGCTTGCTTGGCTTCATCTCTATGTGTGAAACGGCTAAGCTGCATCGATTCCCACTTATCTTCGTGTTTTTCTTCACAGGTGTTAGCTTCTTGTTCTGCCTTAAACTTTCATCCAATCCATTGTAGTAATTACCCTAACTAGTCACCGCCTAGACCTCTGAAGCAGCCAAATAGTTAGTTTCTACCCAGTCGGACTCCTGCATGTCCCTGTTAGTAATTTCTTTATTTCCTTCATTTTGAACTTTTTAAAAAGCCGTGTTTGTTTCAGAAGTACTTCAGATCTGCATACGCTTTCGACTTCGTCGGCTTTTGCGGCTGTGAAGCGCGAAAGCCGCCATTCTCGCAAACTGCGGACACTTCTCAAGAAGGTCCATGTCTTCAAACACAATCATCTCACCTACAAGACATGCTTTGGCGCAATTCATGTTAGGGTGAGTGAGTGTTTTCCAATTGAAACTGATCTTCAACCTTTAAAGGTGTATTCCATGACCAAGCTAGGTGAATCGAGACCTCCCGTGATAATGAGGCTCTTTACAGAGGACAAAACCTTCCCTTGAAAGAGCTTCAAAAGGTATGAACAGCGAGTCAGGGGCTTACACTTGGCTGAAATCGGCTGCTATTGAAATTCGTAGGGCTGCCGCCTACACAGGATGGTTTCTGCGTCTCACTTGTCACTGTGCTCAATCGTCCCTTCCCTCTTCTCGGCGCCCAGTGTCCCATCATCGTAGCACTTCCACTTTATTACAAGGAGGTCTTTTATTTCAGCAACTCGGTGATTTATTTTTCCTTTCCTTTACTGGCTGTCCTTTTTGCATTTAATTTTCATTTTGTAAAATAAGCACACCCTTACGAGATGAGCTTCTAAAAGCAGGAAATGCGGTGAAGTGCTTGATTAGTACTTGAAGGGCTTCCTGTGTTAATGCTCAGAGCCTCTCTAATTCCCTGCGATTTCCCCTCTCACGTGGTCATCTACGCGATGAAAACAAGTCCCTCTCACCT